TCTTTCCCTGTTATTACATTCAGATGATAGACATGATGTACTTTGTCATCATCATGTTGGTGGTTCTGATGAGCTTTGGTGTCGCAAGACAGGCTATTCTCTTCCCCAATGAGGAGCCTTCATGGAAGCTGGCGAAAAACATTTTTTACATGCCTTATTGGATGATCTATGGGGAAGTGTTTGCAGACCAGATAGACCGTAAGCAAGTTTATGATTCTCATACTCCAAAGTCAGGTATCCAATTTTGATCAGATGATGTCCTATTAGATCGTGTGTGTGTGTGCTCAATAAATGGCTCGGGATAGAGGAACTCCTTCATCACAGCGAATGGTCACAAAAATATTTTTTCAGCTAATATTGGGGTGTCAGTTTCTGGCATGCTTTTGGCACCACTTCACAATTATTTAACCAGAAATCTGTAATGCTAAATCATCTTACATATAAAGAATGTGTTAAATGGTTCCTTTTTACCAGTTGGGTTACAGGGACATTGTCCCAGGTATCCACCATGAGTTCATTGGTATACCTGGGACATAAAAAGTCACTTCTTCTTTACCCATTCATTGGTTTGACCTAAATACTTTTTACCTAACTCCATACTGAGCATCAAGTCTAATAATACTGGGTTAGACCTTCAGCTCCTGCACTTCATGAGGATCTAATCCAATGTGTTTTCTTTTCTCTGTTACCTACTCACTGCCACCACTTTTACACTAAACCATGTGATGCAATTCTTTAGGGACAGTAGATCCATTTTTTCTTTATTTATTTATTGGAAGGCAAGACTGTTTTCATGTCAGTGCAATCACAATGAAAGCCAGTGTTTCATATACTGTCTCCTCAGGATTCATTTGGCTGTTGATCAGGAAAATGCCAGTTTTCTATTTATATTACGCCTCCTGGTGCCACCCGGTGCATTACGCCAAAGGAGAAGGGTGGTTGGTCCTGAGAAATGATGCGGTGGATGAGCAAACTAAGAATCACAAACAATGTATCTTTAGCACTGACATGCTAACCAATGTTCATTATTCCTGCTTAAATATGCATAAGCCTTGGCAGCATTTAGAAGTGTCTTTCCCAGCGGCAGATAGCATCCATTAAAGCTCTGTTTAGGACACTCCTTTCTATCCTATGTACCACCTTAGGAAAGGCCAGTGTTTTCATAATTTATCTTCTGCTTGTTTGGTATTGACTAAGTTTGAAAAGTGGAAAAGAGGTGTTGATTTTTCTTGAGCTGGTTAAGGTAATACGTGTATCTATATCACCAATAATCCCCCCAGCTTAATGGAGTTTCAGATGGACAGACATATATGTATCACATGGCAGGTATTTCAGCAGTTCCATGTCCATTTCTTCTTCCTGGTTAGCACAGAACCGTTACTGTGAATACAGATGAAACCTCTTTTTTATGTTTACTTCCCCACTTTGTTTGGAGAGGATGCATGGCATGCAAATACCTATAATCACAAAGGTTCTCACTGAGTTTAGCTTTTTACCCAGTTCCCTCATTTTTATACTTTTTCCTTTTCTTTTCTTTTTAAAACTTCATTTCATTCCAAAGACATAATAGTTGGGAGTATAAAACTTCACCTTGTTCCAAAAGCTTAATAGAGGGATAAAGGTTTACCCCATTAAACTATGACTTCCTTCCACAAGCAGTATTCTGTCTGTCCCTCTACAGGTGGCCATTTATTGATGTTGTACTAAGTAACTACCATAGTGCAACAAACATGGCAATTGGCTGAATAAAAAGTTCTTGGTATTTTTTAAATGAAGTGCTGATTATAGTTTAGAACCCCAAAACCTGAGAAACTAAAGTGTGTTTGAATGGAGCATGGGTTTTAAGTATGAAAAGAGGGTGGCAGGCTCCATCCCTTGCATGAGGATCTAGGGATAGTCTTCTGTTATTCAGGTGCTCAACATTTAAACCTTGTAAAAAGATGCAGCATAATTACCTCTGAGGCTTAGGGAAAGCAAAATTCCTGATGGTTGCAACTCCAGCTATAAGCATATCCATGTTGCTCTGTTTGTGTCAAGGAAACTAGGAGTTGCAGCAAAAGTGGTGATGCCAAAATGAAAAGCAGCACCTAGTTCCTCCTTCCTGAGAGACAGATGATGCAGGGAATTAGAATCTGCCACTCTTTCAGCATAAAATATGTGCAATATGTCGTGTCTGTCTGAGGCTTAGTTGTCTCAAAAATGTTACCTCTGGAATAGACTGGGAGCATGAGCAGATGGTTGGTGATGTTATACAATCAAAATTACCTGATTGGCACCCAAAAGGTTTTACTAGTATACTTACACTTTTTCACCATTTCAAAATTTGTTGTTTTATGTATTTTCCAAGTTGTTCTAAGCTAAATCAGCCACTGTATTCATGTGTTAGAGTACTATACTGTTTGTACTTTCTCGGATAAGATAAACATGTTCTAAAATTGTTATGATACACCTACACTGCAATTGAACTTTATAGCTTGGAGCAGATTTTTTTATTACTATTACTTTAGCAAACCAAAAGGGTTTCTTTGTGGTTTTCTTTATATTTTGGTGTTTAATATTGCAACACCTTTTGCAAGTTTGGTACTCAGCAAACAAGCTGATCTTGGAAGCACATATACATTTGAGCCACGCTCCTGGAGATTATCCTAGTGTCCGAGAAATGTACAAAAAAAAAATATGCTACTCTAAAATTTCTAACTTACTTTTTTTCTTTTTTTCATCTTCTGTTGATTTGTGAAGCATGCCATTAAGGCTGACCAAATGCAATGTCTGGATCCATCTCATCAGCTGGCAGCCTGTCCATCCAGTGGGTCTGCTCTGATTTTTATCTCAACACACTGCACTGTTACAACACTAGCTAAATGCCTCTCTCTGAAATAATGCATGTCATATACATTTACATTTTTTTACCCATACTTTCTGTATTGATTTCGGTTTTTAAATACATATGTTAACTGGAGTGTGCATTAGTGTCCTGTTGGCATGTGATCTCATCTTCAACTCAAAAGTGGGGACAGAATTATATCCTCACTTCTGGGAACATGAAGACACTATTTAGTGGTGTCGTTTATTACCAGTGATGTACATAAATGCTGCATTCCTACAAATTCCTGACTAGCAACCAATTGTAAAGACGGAGAAAAAAAGCAGAGTAAATCTTTGAGAACTGTGTTCAAATTTTCAGGTAAATTCAACAAAAGCAGCAAAACCAGTCTCAAAGTAGTTCTTCTCAGACTGACAATTCATCACAGACACATTAGCTGGGGGAGGAAGGAGAATCCAGCTCAGGGAACCGGTGGTGGTATGTGCAACTGTCTCACTTTTAGGCTGCCTTTCCTATCCCAGCTGAGCTTTGTGCTGCCTGGTGGGATCCATGGGGCAGCAGCCAGCCACATAGCTGCTTTAGTGAATGCCTGTCCGGAAGGAAATCCACAAACACTGTAAAATTTTTCCCTCCGTTCACCACACTTACTTTGGCACTATTGCTGGCAATTTTAGCCAGCAAAATTCACAACACAGTTATTGTATGCAAAGAACTTTGTTTTCACCTTACCAAGCTATCTGCCCCTCCAAGAATACTGTGGATACAGAAGTATGTGAGAAATACTGAAGAGGAAACGATTATTCGGGGAGTGAGATTGCTTGGTAAAAAAATGCAGCTAGATAACATACACGGCAACTTGAGAAACAGCAGTCACCTGTAGAAAATCAGCAGCAGACCTCACATTTTCCTATATTCAGAAGGCAAAGCATCTGAGAGTGCTGTTAGCCAACATGGGTTTGGGTTTTTTGGTTTGGGCTGTTTTTCAGATTTGTCTGGTGTCTCACATGTCATATTTGCATCTGGATTTTCTTTCCAGCTGACAGTATTTCAAGTGCCATCTGGAATCTGAAGATCAGTCTGAGTTGTGTTTGTTCCCTGTGCCTACTCCCTTATTGGAAAAACCTACATAGTTTAAAAGAAAAAGATGGGCCCTCCTTCTCTTTCACTTGGATTAGAGGAATGCCAGTAACCAGAATGCAGTTGTTTCAGAAGACGATTATACATAGGTTTTAAATATCCAATGAACTTGAGAGAAAAATATAATTACTACAAAAGACTTTTTTAAAATTCTTTAAATTTCTTAGTCTGTTAGATTTATTTTTTTTAAAGTTCTTGGAGGTTTCTCAATATAAATTAATTTTTTACACTAAATTCTATATGATCTTAGAGGTTTCATGCTTTTCCTGTCTCCATAGAAGCCTCCTGTGAGGGCTGTCATTTGTGTGGATCATTCTGGAATTAGAACAAGGGGAGCAGCTTTGCACAAAATAGAATAAATCACACCTGTGCTTTTTTTTGCTTTTTTCTTCTTCTTTTTCTTTTTTTTTTTTTTTTTTTTTTTTTGCATCTTGAGAGCAGCTCTGCAGCACAGGCGATATTTTTAGTGTTATTAGGCAAAGGCAGAGGATAAAATTTGTGCACAGCCTAAACACCATTTTGAAAGTCTCTCCGGCCTGAGTTGTAGTACTATTCCCCTTCCTAGCACTCCTCTGAGGTTATATTTTGGGTTCCATTTTGTTGGATATTTTTAATATCGAGGGGAGGAGTTGGGAGAAAGCACTAGAGGGAACAAGAAAAATACAGGGATTTACTATAAATTATTATTAAAATACCAGCAGATTGGAGAGATGCTTCAAAGTATTTTTTAATGTGTCTGAGGGCAAAAAGCAACACATAAGGTCATGATGCTGTAGTTAAAGCAACTTTTTTGATGTAATGAGACACTGTTCAATTCCCTGGATGTTTCTGCTGTTGAACAGAGCAATGGTGTAAGATTCAGAGTTCCCAGAGTTCAGCATTTTCTCTGTCAATGAAGAAGTGGACAGCCCTAGGCAGCTCACTTAACTTTTTTTTCAGTATTTACCAGCCTGGCAAGCCGTTAAGGTTGCTTAGACATTTGATTAAAAAATTATAAAATGCTTTCACATCCTTTGGGTTCAGTGCAGATCAAAATTGGAAGGTGCCTATATACTCAAAAACAGGGTGATGAGACTGCATTTAAAATGTCCAGGCTCGAATAAAAAAAAAAAAAAAAAAGTTGGGTTGGTTTATTAGTTAATACGAACTTATTGGTTTCCTTATTCTTTAGATTGTGATCATATGAACCAATGCCGCAATTTCTCATACTTTCAAACAAATCAACTTGTACAGTAAAAGTGGTATCCATTTTTACATGAGAAGTTTTCATCAAAGGCAAAAAGCTATTTGGTAACAAAGCTGTTCATTTATGCACTTTTCTCTCTCAATTATTTCCCACAACTACTTTGGAAGGGTGCAGCTGGGGGAAGAGTCATGATGCAGAAATTTGCAAGCATTGTTTCCCAAGCCCTCCACCCAATACACAGTAGAAATGAGCAGTGCCCATGTCATGACAGTAATTACAGCAGGGAAACAAACTCTTCCTGAGCTCTGCCACTGCTTTAGGCCTGAAACACACAGAGGGGTGGGTTGCTGCTGTTCGCAACTATTTGCTGGCCAGGAAAGAGGAAGGGTTAGGTATGTAGCAGGAAAGGCCCAGACAGGAAACTGTAAACAGGAGCCAAGAAGGAAAAATAAGCATAGGCTGTGAAGAAAACAAGAGATGCAAAAAACACGTACATCGACAAATGTCGGGATGCAATGTTTGAAAGCTAAGTCAAGTTAATTCATGTAACTGAAATTAAAACTCTAGGCATTTATTATTTTCTAAAGCCTGAGTTCGGGACTTAATGTCCGACATCTATCCAATGGCCTGTAGGTATCAGAGTGATTGGGTGTTTCAGTTACCTGAAATAGGCATATATTTATGCTAACAGAATTTGTTTCAGCAAAACATCTCATTAGAATTAAGTACTCTCTGTATTTTTTATTAAACCAAGGCTGAAGGGTAAAAAGATGAGTATGTTTTCACACGCGTTAAAATTGTGCTTTGAAAAAGTTTGTTATCACAATATGTTATGGCACATACTACAAAAATTACTATGTTTCTCCAAACATAATTAAAATGGTCAAACCATGTTACACATGAAAGGCTGGTGCGGGTCCCTCAGGGAGGAGGCACAGCACGCAGCGAGTGAAAGCTTTGGCTTGATGGAAAGCACAGCGTTACCAGGGTGGGAGCCCCAGGAGACCGGCGCTCATCACATGGGAACCCAACACTGTGGAGCCCTGCTCAGGAGTGACGCTCAAGGAACAGCACAGCAGGGGTGGATAAAAAACCTTGTGCTGATTAACATACCGTACATAGGCAGTGTCCTGCTTTGCTCGTTAGTGAACTCGCTGGTGTAATGCAGGTGCTGCTGTCTGAATTCTGAGATCCACAGCTGGCCATCACATTGCCCATGCAGGGGTATGTGCAGGCAGGGGGAAGCAAAATACCCCAGCTTACGGTAACATGGAGATAAGACATGGTTGGGACTCCATATACCCGGGTGGGGGACGCAAACTGTCCCAGGTTACTGTAATATTCTTCTCGAACCCTTCAAACAGAATTCTGATTTTTTAAATATAAGCAAGTATCCCCATTGTCTAAAAAGAGCATCACTGCTACTTTTAGCCTCCTTCCAGAGTCCTCTTTCACAGAGAGAGAAATTTGTTTCTGGTTTCCTGGGACTAATTATTTTAAACTAACTTTTTATTTAATAGTGGGGAAAAAATTGTTAATATTAATGTTATAGTTTGAAGATGGAAGAAGATGTTCAGTGACGTGCAGTGGAACACAGACTTCTGCATTTTGGACACACATCATACATTTTCTCATGCAGCCAAAGATGTGAAGCTTAAGTGGTGGCTTAGTTCTCCATAAAGTAAGGCATGAGATTAGTATTCCCTTGTTATTTAAAAACTGTTCCCACAACAGAAAGTGCAAAAGACAAAAACCTTTGCAAACCTTCAGGACTAGCCGAACTTCTATGCATGTATAGAAGAGACCATGGGAACTTGTCTTTGTAGGAAGTCTAAGTTGGCCATCAGTGTGTGACATAAACCAAGAGGGATGCATTAGTAGTATTCCCAATACTCTGTTGTAGGCAAATAAAGACTGAGAAATCATTTTTGTCTTGGTAGTTGTCAAAGCTGATTTTCTTTTTAGATTAAATTTGCTTTTTTTAATAGAAGAAAATGGGATAATACAATTGTAACCAGACTTTGAGCTGAGTTTTTGATCTCATTGATCTAAGGTTTAAAACATGGTTTTCACCAGTTTCTCTCACTGCAACAAAAGACGTAATTTCTTCTGTTCGTCAGCACAGAAAAGGACAACAGGTTTCATCAACGGATGGAGTGATTGTTCTGTTACTGGTGAAATCACGACAGGTTTTGGTACTGTGTTGCGTTGGACTTTGTCGCGCTGAATCGACATGTGAGCAAGTTAGTGTTTCCACACTAACAGAAATGTAAGTCTCACACTGAGTGCTGATACCAAGAGGTATTGAATGCCCCAGTTTCTGCTGGGTGAAGGCGGAGCACACACAGCTCCGCACTCCCAGCAGCTCACAGATGGCATTTTGAATGTGTAAATAAAACCGCTGCTTGGAGCAGTGCAAGAAGCACAGAAGCAGCAGTAACTTGATCTGCAAGGTGATCCTTTCTGAGAAATAAAGAATTGCGTACTCTCAGCCTGTTCGTAACAAATGTATGTTTGTAAGCAGGAAAGACTAGTGACACCATGGGTCCAGACACAACAGAGCTGCTTGTAAAAGTAGTATGGCTTGTATTTGGATTTGCCATTTCTTTTTCCATGAGCTGAATATTTTGGGAGAGTTCTTCTCTGAAGTTGATGTATCATGTATTCTTCTGCCCCATATGGCTATAATATTTCTATCTAATAGCTTAACAGCCTTACATAGTGCCCTAAACCAAGTACCAAATCACACATAATATCATATGATTGCTAGCACAGACACCCTCAGTTGAATCCCATGCTCTGTGAATCACATTCAGAAGGACCTTTTTGAGAAGAAGTAATAGTTGGTGTTGGAATTCATGGATTTGTTGACATAGGGTGGAACTTTACAAAATATAAGGCATTGGCAAACTTTGTTGTCCGTGAAGTCAGTGGGAAAC